ATCATCATCATTATTATTATTATCATCATCATCATCATCATCATCATTATTATTATTATCATCATCATCATCATCATCATCATTATTATTATTATCATCATCATCATCATCATCATCATTATTATTATTATTATTATTATTATTATTTCTAGAAATCTAGCTTGCTAATGAGAGAAGAACTACTAAATAAAAGTAAAAGAAGTTGGGAATCGTTATGTGCATATCAACTTCACATAAATTATTGTCAATATGATGTGATATGTAGTTTTATATAGTTATTTGTATATATGTATTCTTGCTATAAAATTTTTGTTTGTCAATATGGGTTACGACACGATGACACGACTCAAAAACGACACGAATTTTGTGGGTTAGGGTTGAGAAAAAAGAGGTTCGGGTCAGAATCGGGTCGACCTGAAATTGACACAAAAAACACATGTTAATTTCGGGTTGGACCTGCCTAACTCGAACACGACACGAAACTCGTAAAAAACTAAAAAATACATATATTTTTCATTTCATATTTTAAATTTTATTATGAACTTGTGATATCATGATAGTTATACTCAAAATCTTATATTATTATTTGCTTAATTTCAATGGATGTTATTGTAATTTAGTGTGTTATGAATTTTAAGTTATTTCTAATATGTAAAAAACTAAATAAAAGTATACAATTTTCGTGTTAATTTCGGATTCACGGGTCAATTTCATGTCTTGGGTCATTTTCGGGTTGTGTCGTGTCAACTCATAAAGTGGTCGTGTCGTGTTCGTGTTGCGGTTTTTAAAAAATTTCGTGTCACGGGTCGTGTTCGGGTTGACTGTAAATTTAAAAAAAATGATCAAAATACGACACAAACACGACACGTGACACGAATTGCCACCCCTACGTGCATATATGTAGTCCTTTATTTAAATGGTTTGATTTAATTTCTAATAAAAAAATTTTCCCTTTTTCTTTCTTGGTCCGGAAACATGCAGAAACCTTTCTTGATTGCTTAAAGCTCAGCACAAATTATTCAATTGCCTAAAAAGAAAATTAATCATCATGTAAAGTGAAGTAAATTCAAATTCGTGCTCTCCCTTTTATGATCTTTGAGATTCAAATCAGACATCTTCAAAACTCACAAGTACTTAAGATGAGAAAAGGCACATAAATCTATTCATTTTCTTTACTTTTTTTTTTTTTTGGTTTGGAAAAAGAAAAGAAAAAAAGACGTTGAGAGAAGAGAAGTAATATATACAGAAAATAGGTACGATTAATATACTTACAGTTATGATTTTCTAAGGAATCTTACACCTCAATGCTCTTTTTAACTTACCTCTTTAATTAGTTTTGTGTCATTCTCCTAAAATTTTGCCTTTCTTAATCAATTTTTATATATTGAGAAAAATTAAGAACAAAAGTTCATACATTTTTTAAGAAACGACATAAATCTTCATGTCCCCTTGGCAAAAGAAACATTCATCTAAATTTTCCTTCATTGGTGCCCTCTTTTGTAGGGCATCATTAATCACTTTATGCCCTATGGAATAAAATGTCTCACAGATTAAGACCAGCTTATATTACAAACCAAATTAATGCACATGAAGATAATTAGAAACAAATAAAATTGATGCACGTATCTAAAAAAGGGAAAAAAAAAGGAAAAATGCATAAAAGAAGTTACATATATTTGGTAGTAAAAGTACTCCAACCTCTTAGGTCTATCGTTGATAAGAACAGAATTCTCATGGAGAACTTAATTAAGTTAATTTTATTATTTTGTGTAGTAGATAACTGAAATACATATAATCAATTAAGAGCATGAGAGTTGTGGTGAGAGAAATGTCAATGACCTTCACATTGTCAATGAGCTAATATGTTCTAGCGCACCTTATTATAAGGTCATAATTAAGACAAGATCCCCAATTATTAGTTAGAGTTTGGTAAATTTGGAAGTTTTTGTAATCTTGATCTGCTTAAATTATACTCCTTTAAGGCAAAAAAAAAAAAAAAAAAAAAAATTCTCACCTTTTCTTTTAAAGAAGAAAAATAAATTAAACAAGAATTTGTTTAGGGTAAAACTTGAAAGTCAATTGGCTTCTTTACTATTCTTTCTTTATTTATTTTTTTAAAAAAACTGGTCTTTTTTTTTTTTTTAATAGACACCTTAGACATTTGGCTTGAGATAAAAAAAAGTATTAATATAAATACATATGGTTTGACTTCCTTTCTTTCTTTTTTCACTAATTTTCATTGGATTTCCATAACAGATACAAAAGTAATATTGGAACTACTAAGAAAATTAAGTAATGAAACACACCATTATATGTAGACATAGACGCATATAGTTATCGCAGGTATTATCAGAGGGTGCCGAGCACCATTCCTTTTTCTTTCTTTTTATTCGAAAAATGTTCTATCTGAGCCATGGGAGAGTAGGTAATGTACATTGGGATTTGGCTAAAATGTCTTAGGATATAAAATGCGCATTAAACTCTATTACTCAACAAAAGAAAATGCATTTAAAAAAAAAAAAGAAAACAAAAATGCAATTTTGTATCAATGTATTTAATTACCGCAATAAATTTCTTTCCCCCTCAAAAAAGAAGTTTTCATTTTTCCTTTTCCGTTTTTTCCCCCAACAACAATTTAAAACAAAAATTCAAATGCCAACAATGACGTTGGTTAGGTTAGCAAATAGAGTAAATTACCCAAAGCTTAAAATCTCAGATTCAACCGCCTCAGCGGGATTTTAATAACAGTCCAAGGTTAGATAGATGATAACCAAATAATCACTCGTCAATTAAAAACATTTATATGGTACAGTTTTAATGGATACTTTAATAAAGGAATTCTACCATGTAAAAATACCCTATTTGTAGGCTTAAAGTGCCATAATCGTGACAGTAGGATTTTAATCCAACGATATATAATTATTTGCATGAGACCGATATTAAATGTCTTTTTATAACGATAATAATACATTCATTTTATAAATACCATCTAATTTAAATCTCAGTACACATAAATAATTATAGAGGATTCCGTACTAAGAATGCCTTAATGCAAAATTACCTCAAGTGTCCTTAATCATTACAATAGAATTCAAATCAAGCGAGGTACATATTGCATAAGAAAATGACACTACAAAGGAGATTAGACGATGTCTATTTAACGATATTTTTAGGAAATTGTTGTCGCATAGGCTAAAAAAACGCGGTACGAACACGAAAAACATACGCGCACATTAAACGGAGGTTTAAAAACCGTTGTCTAATGTAAAAAAAAAAGTTTTAAAAAAAGGCCAACTTCTTTCTGCAAATTTTTTCAAAAGTTTTTTAAAGTTTTGATATCTCATCTATAACTTCAAGCATTCTTTTACAAACTTTAAGTTTGCTATCTCAAATCTCTCAATCCCTCCAAAACTCTCTCTCTCTCTCTTCCTCACACCCTACTCTCTCTCTAACTCTCCTCCCAACACTTCATTTTTTTCTCTCAAATGTTATCTCTTCTACACTCCTCACTCATATTACTATACGTACTCCTCACTCCCTCAACTTGGCCGCTACCTCTAAGAGCCTCACAATCATGCTCATATGTCATTGGCCGTTGTAACCTTGCATCTATATCCGTCACTACACCACGGTCATCGAAATGAGTACTTTGTTAATCTTTTAAAATTTCTTTTCTTTGAGTTTTTGTTTGTTTGTTTGCATTTAGAGTTTTCTTTGAATTAATTAGGTATTTTTGCTTTTAGATTTCGTAGAGACTTTTGGTTTTGAAATATTTGTGTTACATATATATTGATTATGTATGAGAAGTTGAATTTGTAACATGTTGTTTTTAATTTTTTCATTAGTGTTGTTTAATGACTTGTGATAACATTCAAAGAAATAATTTTTTTGAGCAAAAAATTAGTTTCGGCAAAAATATCAATTTTTTAATTTTTTAATGATAATTTTTTAAAAAATCGTCATTAAAAATTACACATTAGATGACGATTTTTAAAAAAAACATTATTAAAAACTGACATTAGAAGATGATTTTTTTTTTTAAAATCGTCGTCCAATGTGCATTTTTAAATTTTTGTGATGTCTCACGCGCGTATTAGACGACGGCTAAAAACCGGTGTCGTATCTCTTAAACATTTAATGATTCTTGATACGATGTCAGTTTTTAAATCATCATTGTATCTTTTGACGATAATTTTTAACCGTCGTCTTATCTTTTATTTGTTTTAGTATGTTTTTTTTTTTAACATTGTTACACTTATTTTGTAAGCACCAACTAATTCAAATCGTATGAGTAAGTTTTTTTTTCCTTCTTCTTGAAGGAGTATGAGATATATATTATTATTAAAAAAAGAGAGGAACTTTTATGATATAACCTTTGTTTTCTTTTTTTCTTTTATAAATATATTGATCAATTCTTTTTAACCACTGGTAGTGATGCTTGAACCATTAAATTAAGATTTGAAAGGTCTTATTTGTGAATATCTACGTTAAAAAGTCGCAATATATAACACAAAATTAGAAGAATCACAAATCAGACTGTTGAAAATTTATTAACGCTTAAAAAAAACAGTAGCTCTCGTTAATTTAAAAGAACAAGTTCTGCGAGATAAATAGCTGGACAAAAAAAGAAAAAATCTAAAAATCATTCTCCAGTTTGCGTTCACATGAGACCCAATCAAAAGATGCCACGTGTACAACTTCCCACACACGTAAGAGACCCCCTTCCATTACATCACCTAGACATGTGGACCCTCATGTCCTCTCTTCCCATTACCAAATCCAATTTTCCGTCAAACATAACGGCGCAACCTCACGCCTGTTAATCCCAGCCTCCTCCTCTATATAAATACCCCTCTCTACTGATTCGCTTGTCTCCTCTTGTCTGTAATTTTCTTTTTCCGATTTCATTTCAAACCTCCATTTTCTCGACGTCAAAAATTTTCCCATCCTTTCTCAGCAAAATCTCGGAAAATAATAATAATAGCAATCATAGTACATCGCTGGCATTTCGGTTTTGTGGATTTCGCGTTTGACTTTTTTTATTTCTTGGAGCGAAATCGAAGGGATTTTTCAATGGAGAGAGCCTAATCATTTTGGCAATTATTTCTGTTTTGCTGCGAAGATTTTGCCTCTGTTTGGTCGGAGAGAAAGAAAAGGAAAAAGATCAGAGAATGGGGAAAAAAAATACTGTTCTCGATAAAATTCAAAAAATCAGGCGCGCATTAATGAGCTTCTGAGCTTTTACACAGCCGATTTTCATTTCCATCAAGGTAAAATCATGAAGGCAAGAGCTACAATTTCGTTTTCCTATCTACTTTCTCGGCTACCAAACAGAGCCTCACTTTATCTTTTTGGCTCTGTTTTTGAAACGTTTGGTCTCATTGGATCGGATTCCGTTTTCGTACCAGTACTACAACATTCTCTGTTTCTACTATCTCTCAATAATATCAACAATTTATTTTTTCTAAAAATAAATACCTATATATATTGACAATTAATAATCTGTTTCTTAAAATAAATCTGTCTTTGGTTCGTGATTTTGCAGGTTGAATAATAGGAAGCGAAGAAGGGAGTGGAAAAGAGTCGCTCAAAGCACTGGCTACTTGGTGAGTAGCTGAGGGCAAAAACGGCAATATAATCAAACAACAGTTGGGATATTGAGTAAGTCGTTCTTCAATCATAATGTTTCCAAAATAATTATGTTAATAATTATTGTTATTATTAGTATTGTTAAATGCGTCTCTTATCTTCTTATATTCTTTGTTTACAGTGAAAGAATTTCTTTGGTTGATATTTTTTTTTGTTTGGTTCAATGGGGTTTGTCAGAAACTTCGGCCAGAGAGGATTGTGTTGTGATTCTTTTATTTTATGTTTGTGGGCTTTTTTTTTTTTTTTCAATTTTTTGTACATTAAAGCAAAGGCACATGACTCATCCCAGTTGTTCTAATACGACCACTTTCAAATGCCATGACCACCATTTGTTGGGGTTTTGTTTTGTTTTGTTTGATCTCTTCTTTCAATAATAGACTCATTATTTTTATTTATTTTTTCTTTTCTTTTCTTTTCTTCTCTTTTCTTTTGGGTTCAGTCTTACTCTGATCCCGAGCTCTTTTCCTTTTTCGCTTTTCTCTTTTCTCTGGACCCATTTGTGTTTCCGGCCTGGAGAATATGAGGAAACACAAAAAATTGAAAATCAGCAAAATACTTGTCTAGTTTCTCTTCCCGAATTTTCTCTTACCAAACATCTTGAGCAATCAAATTCTATTATTACCATTTAATATTTGTGGGGTCAGCAGTAGATTTTTTTACTTGCAATTTGTTTTTTATTTTGTTTCTTTTTTTTGGAATTTTATTGGATAAGTGCTCCATGAAGCCATACTATGCGGAGAATGTTCCAATTCCCCGTTCCAATGGTCCAAATCATCCCCACAAGATTCTCTTTTCAGTGGGGGGTATTATAGTCTTTTGGCGTCTCCATCTTAGTAGACAAAGATAACTTTCTTGGAAAGAGAAAAATTGTAAAACATATGATATGGTGATCATCCCATGCATACAATCTGCCTCTGATATATCCAAACATACTAATCAACTCAAATATTTTTCCTTTTGACCAATGAGGAAAAGGAAAAAAAAAAAAAGAAAAAAAAACTTTTGATTTCAGTGGTTTAATCGTAATTATGTGATGCGTTTAGGGGTATTAACGTAAACGAGGAAAGATGTTTACATGCATAGCATGTAAGGCAGACGATGGGGAAGACGAAGGAGGAGGAGCGCGTGGTAGCGGCACCCCAAGTACAAAAGAAGCCGTCAAAAGCCTGACGGCGCAGGTTCGTAATCCTGCACCCTTCACTCTCTCTCTCTCTATCTTTATCCTCTGTCTAAATTGCTTCACCTACAATTTTTGCTTTTTCAGTTTCTTTTTCCATCTTTGAGAAAACAAACAAAATCATAAGTCGAGTAGCGGGTCTGATATGGTGGGGACCATCTTTGGCATCTTTCACGTTTAATATTATATTATGTTGTTTGCTCCGAGAGTAGTTTTTTTTTAATTAATTATATTTGGGAACATTTATGTCTGAATTAACTGTTTGCATGTGTGACAAACCGCACCATTAGTCTTGATGCTCATGTACACTAACGTTGGGGGGTTTGTTTCACATTTCCGTTGACTCACTTTATTTTTTTTTAAAGTTTGATTTTTTATTTTTGACACATAATTATATTCGGATAAAGCATAATCTGGACATTCGGTCATGTGGGGCCTACTGCGGGTCTCACTTGGACCCCACAAAACTTGCAATTTAAATTTGTACTCTCGAAACGCTTGCGAGTACACGCAGCATTTCTCTGACTATTCTATTGATCTTTGATTTTTTTGGTAATTATTTTATTAATCTTTGATTAATTTGGGAAGCAATTACTCAGACAAAAATAGATGTTATTGTCTGCCAAAGCATTTGAGCTACACTGTCTGATTGAAAGAAAAGATTACACAATAATGGCGCACAAGTTGGTTGTGAAGTATTGAATGAAATTTAAAGTTCTAGGGTGCTAGTATAGTGATTGTCTTGTGTGGAAACCACAAAAAATGAAAACCCATTTCTTTATTATATTATAGGGAAAAAAAAAAACAATAAATGTGCACGCATATTGTCCAGTCTAGCTATTAGATGCAAAACGTTGTATATGTAGTGACCAGTTAAAAGATGGGTTTCTTTTGCCTTAAACCCTGTAGTTTTTCCTCTATTCCACATCCCTATAGGGCTACGGCGCCGTAATACGAGTGTACTAATGTGCCTGGGCTAGACTCTACTAGACTGTCCTTGAATATTACTCATCAAGGGGAACGATAAATAATGCACTTGGGAAATGGCACACAAGACGGACCATAGCTGTATTTTAAGAAAGAGCACTTTTATTTATCCTACTACCTATAAAAAATAGTCCTGCCAAGTGAGTAGGTGGAAATCAATTTAACAAGACTTGTGTTTTTATAAGTGATGAGGATAAATATCACTCTGACAAATAGCCGATCAGTCTGGGTCTAATAACCGATCAGTTTGAAAATAATTATCTCATAATATTAATTTTCGTATGTATAACACTTGATTCTCTAATGTTTAACATTTAAAAAATACAATTCATACATATATAAACAATGTTACACACGAATAAAAAGAAATACATTTACCAGACTGGACGATTATCAGACTTAAAGATTTTGCCCAGTCTTTTAAGCCTTTGTCCAACTAAATTGCTCGTGGGTGGGACATGTCGTCAATGGTACAAAACGACATCATATTGGCTATATTATTGTAAGAAAATTGCTGTGTTTTTTAGATCTTCCATTCTGTGGACTCATAATTAGTTGTCCATTTTGATACTAGTAGAAAAAAAAGTGCAAGTTGCATAAATATGGACTATTGGGGCTCAGTCAAATGGCTTCCTAGAATATGTATTGCTTGAATTGAATTGATGACGTTGCTAGAACATATTCCACAATAAGTAAGCAGTGGAGGGTCTCTCGCAAAAAAGACAAGTCAGCTTACTAGATGTAGACAGCCAAGTAAATGTCCTTTTGTGCGACCCACCATTGAATTTTTGTCCTTTCAGTTTCACTATTTCAAATCTCCATCATTTTTAGTATATTATATATATAAAATATATAAAAGTTCACAGCCCAAAATCTGAACCGGTCGGTCTCTTGTGTGTAAGCCCATTTCAGATATTATTTTGTTAGATTCTCAGACTTTTACTCTGTCTCTTTGCACCTGCAAAATAGTTTTCAGGCTTGCTTTGCTTCCTATAAGGTGGACAAGGTCCCCTTCCTTTGGCGTTTTTATGCTGAACCACTCTGTAGTTTTTGTTACGTCTCAGTAGTTAAAAGTTGAAATTGCACGTTCTTTTAGTAACCAGGATCTTTTTTATTATTATTTATTTTTTTACTTTTTTTTTGTTTTAATATTACTGCATAGTGGCCATGGTTAGAAGTCACTCTCCCAAATTAAAACTGGCGCCTTTGCTCGTTTTTGACAATTATTTATGTTTGAAAACAATGGAACATGGGCCAAATCAAGGCAATATATGCTCTAGTAAAACATCATGACCCATTTATTTATGTATGCATGTGATTTTGTCCACATTACGTGAACCCCATTAGGCTTGCAACTATTTCGACATGACACAACATAATTAATGTGACATTTAAGAATGTGAAAAATCATTTTAAAAACAGACTTATATCTGACACTTGAAATCTGTACTTCACCCTTTTCTCTTTTTTTGGGCCCCAAAGTTGAAAATTGTTCAGTCGGATTTAGTCTTAAGCAACAATAGCATGTTGAATAGCAGGAATTTTCTGGAGAAAGTATGTACATTTTAAGGACATTTAGACGTGCTCCCAATGCAACAAGGACCACACATCTGAGCATCTCAGGGGACATGTAGAATATATCTGTGACACTAACCTTATAGGCCTTAATCTTATCTTGTAGAATGTGAAAAAGTTCCTGTGATGAACTTTCTATATCAAGTTCAAGAATTTGTTTAATTGTGTAAATTCAATTCAGTTGTGAAGAATTTGCACAAAACTGTCCAGCAATGCAGCCCCTTAGATCAACTGAATTCGACTCATTTGTTTGACGCTGCTTTTCGAACAATTCTGTATTTTGAGTTGTCTCACCCTGTTCATACGTCAATCTCACCTGAAAATTTACTTGCAACATACTTTTTCCTCTTTTTTTTTTTTTGTTATTTATGTATATATGTTCGTATATGCATTACATAACTCTTGTATCTTTTCCACTGTTAGTTATATGTCCTGGTGCTTTAGATCAATTAATTAACTTATATTATCATTTCCCCGAAATATTCAAGGCTTACCAAGTAACAGAGCTTGGCAGTTGCATCCATACAATCCCAATTTAGCCTTAATGTACTAGTGTCCACATAGGAATCTCAAAGAGAAAAGGCTAAATGGACCATAGTTAATGCTCTCATAATGAAGATTAATCACATATAATTACACCGAGTGCTAAAAGCTTCAATGAAATTATGTGCTTAAATATGAAAATGTAGTACCTGCTTAGCTTTATGGGACTTCCTATCAACCTTGCTTTCCAACTTTGTGCAGATCAAGGATATGGCATTGAAAGTGTCCGGTGCTTATAAGCAATGCAAGCCTTGCACAGGGTCAAGTAGCTATAGAAGAGGGCAGAGACCTTATCCAGACTTTGATACTGCTTCAGAAGGGGGTCCTTATCCCTATGTAGGAGGTGCAAGCTCAAGTTCTACACCTGCTTGGGACTTTACTAGCTCTAGTCATCACCCATCTACAAGACCAGACTCGAGATTTACGGGGTTATTGAGCGGTGACCAAACTCCTAGAGGAGTGTCTGTGTCGGCTCAGTCTTGTGATGTGGTGTTAGAGAACGAGGATGAACCCAAGGAGTGGATGGCACAGGTGGAGCCGGGGGTGCACATTACTTTCGTGTCTCTTCCAAATGGGGGAAATGATCTAAAACGAATTCGATTCAGGTATTGAGAGAATTATTAAGCATATAATAATTGAAATATAGGCCATTAACTGTAATTGCTACAAACCATAATACAGAAGTCCAATCACCCCAAATTACAGTAAGCTAAACTTTTCTGAGTCTTTGGACGGATAAAGTTCCCTTTGTAAATGGCCCTCTTCAGAACGAAGCCCGTATAGAGAATCAGCGTGAACCAATGTTTTGCTCTTATGTAGTGCATTGGGTCCTATGTTAAAGCGATATTAAGCTTTTTGACTGGGAATTCAAACAAAGTTGTGACATTGGCATTTGAGTTTTTAGTTGTTAAATCTGTATTAAATTATAACAAAAAAATCAAAGCGCATGCTGACATGACATTTCGATTTGCAAGCCGTGAGATGTTTGACAAGTGGCAAGCTCAGAGATGGTGGGGTGAGAATTATGACCGAATCATGGAGCTGTACAACGTCCAGAGATTCAATCGGCAAGCTCTTCAGACTCCATCAAGATCTGAGGATGAGGTAAACCTCAAATTTTCTTACTTGAGTAGCTTCTTAATACCAATTGGTGCTCCTATAATAAGTTTAGTAAAGTTTTTATCGAAATCAAAATTCTGGGCTTCATCACTATAATTGTACACTTCCATCATGCAGACCTCTTAGAATAAACATAAACTAGTTTACGATAGGTTTCACTATCTCAAGTACTAGATGCGCTTAAATAGCGATGAGCATGAGCATTTATAACTGGCTCAATGTGAAAAGTTTTATATTTTTATTACAATACTAAATAACTGATTCAGATTATTGTTATTAAGAGATACTTGTACTCAATTGCAGAGAGATTCTTCTTACTCGAGGATGGGATCTGCTAGGGAAAGTCCTATGGCTCCATCTTTGAACAAAGATTGGACACCAAGGAGCCACTATAAACCCCCTGGAAGTAGACAGCATTTCCCACCTGACCCTTACGATCATGGTGGTGGTGGTCATCACTACAATGCTGGGTCAAGTGGTTATGTGATGGGTGGCCACAAAGGAGAGACGTCATCTCTAGATGCATCACGGACGACAACCTCATCTCGTGACGAGGCTTCGATTTCAGTGAGCAATGCCAGTGACCTGGAGACAGAGTGGGTTGAACAAGATGAACCTGGAGTGTACATTACCATTAGACAGCTAACCGATGGCACTAGGGAGCTCCGGCGTGTCCGGTTCAGGTAATGAAGTGTTATTTTTTAATAACATGATATTTGGGCTATGTTTGGTAGGATGGAAAGAAAATAAGGAGTAAGGTTACGTAATAGCCTAGGTGAGAAAAATCGAGAAGAGGGGGATGACTTTCAATTATTGTGTTTGGTGCGAGTTCTCTTGTCCAACCCTCGTAATCTTGGATGGATCAAAATTGTGGTCCAACCCTTCTCTCCCTAAATCCCTCGTACCAATTAGTCATGCATCCCATAATCCACCCAGCCATCTCCTTTCGGCCATCTTTCCCTCCTATCAAAACATGGCCTTTGACGGTTTGGCCTTAGGTTATGAGGGAACCATGGCATATACGTTTAGAATAATATTCCATTTTAAGAGAGTTAAAAAAGCACAGTCTCGTTGAAAGGTTCTATACGTCTTCTTATTATGAATTAACAGAATAGCTCACTCGGTGCAACTTCAAAATGAACCTACTAATGATTATCAAAATGTCTTATTGCTCTTGTCAATTTTGTCATAACTAACTCTTTTCTTTTTTCTTCCTTATTTGCTTAGCCGCGAAAAATTCGGGGAGGTGCATGCAAAGTTATGGTGGGAAGCAAACAGAGAAAGAATACAAGCCCAATACCTATAAATTTTTGTCACACAATGAGAATGATCAACACACAAAAAAAAAAAAAAAAAAAAAAAAAAAAATAAGACGAATTTAAAAAAAAAAAAAAAAAAAAAAAAAAAAAAAAATCTAAGACGCATTTAGATGTCTCAAAATGCTGGAACGTGAATCTTTCTGTGTTACAAGTTGAAACTTAACAGAGAACTGAGACTCACCATCACCAGTGATAGAAGTTGAATTTTACATTCTTTGGTCTAACATTACAAGTTATGGTTTTCTTTTTAATTCTTATATATATGAGGGTGATGGCTCATGACAACATTTGTTTTTTTGGGGCCCCATTCACATGAGATGTCTTGATGTGTCCGGTTTTGTCTTAATTTCTGTCTTTGTTATTAATATTATTATTACATATTTTCACCAATCACTAAAATATATATTTTTTTATTTTTGGCCTCTTTTCCCCTTCTCTGGGACTTCGGTCTTTTACGCACCATCAGATTTTTGGCCTGTTGTTTTGCTTATTAGCGGTAGTCTGTAATACAGATATAGTTTGAGAAAATGAAATTGGAAGCATTTGCGGTTGTATTAGAGCTTTCTCTTCTCTTTCTTCTATTTCGTTTTTTTGCTAATTTTCTGATACACGCGTATATATGATTGTATATTTGGACGAAAGGGCATTATAATTAATATTTGTTTTCTAGTTTTACTTCATCATCAGTAAAAACAAACGAATAACTAAGGGCATGTTCTTTTGTCTAAAAAATTTAAAAAAAGACAATTCAAGTTTCAACTTTATTTAAGTTCACGTTCTTTTAAATTTCAATTTTATTTAATTTTATTCAAGTTCTAACTTCAACTCAAGTTATAACTCAAATTTAATTCAAGAATTATATTCAAATTAAATTCTAAAAGAACAAGCCTAAATAAATTATGAAGAGTGAAAATTAATCAGCAAAAAAAAAAAAAAAATCGTAGTGGCAAACTTTCCAAATTCCAATGCAAGCAAACGTGCTAGTGAAGTTTAAAAAAAGGGACAAAAAAAAAAAAAAAACAGAGAGAGAGAGAGAGAATATACCTTTACTGAAATCTATGGGAAGAAGGCGAACGCATCAAATATCTCTTAAGATAAAGAATAGAGTGTGATCCATTTATATTTCAGCTACCTTTCAATTTGAGGCATTTAACAATTAATTTTAGTAGTAGTAGTGCACATTTGTTAGAACATGAAAGTTGGAATTGAGCATCATAGTGTAACATTGGACGATGCAGTCGTTAGTTAATGTTGATACACAACCTCAAGAGTCAAGACCAAAGAAGAACAATAATCCAATAGAAAAGAACAATAATCCATTACAAACTTATGATGGTGGCGCATTTCAGTGGACAGAATATTTTCAAAATAATCGAGATCTACCATGATGATTCTTGTTGGGATCGAACTTCGTCCTCAAATCTTGGCCGTCCAAGTGTCGAGTCGACCGATGACAACGGTAGGTCACCGCATCATGAGACCTCATGAGCTTGCCAAGTTGAGTAAAGGGACTATTGATTAGTGCATGAAAATGCACCCTAAATACTGCTTTTAATTTATATAATATTAAAATATTTAAGCTTTAATTAAACAATTCCATTATTTTTATTCAAAATATTTTTCTTTAGAATTTGTCTAGTTGTTGCTTAATTATTTGCAGATAAAAAGCAGTGTAAAAAGCTACACAGAAATAAGCCATGAAAACCATGTTTTCAACCACCTAGAGCCAAGCCTTTCAGCCGAGCCACACAACCTAATCAGAGAGAGAGAGCGTCAGCTGTTTGAGCCACCGATTCAAGCCACGCGTGGGCCCTAGTCTGTGATAGCCTATCCGCAGCACTTCCAACGCGTGTCACTTGCACGGGAACTCTTCAGCGCGCGCGTGCCTTCCACGCAGCCATCAGTACGCGTCTAAAGCTTTCCTCCGCATGTGTCTCGCGTGTCAACGTGCAGCCTACCTTTCCTCTCAGCGCGCGCTAGCTGTCTCCGCTACTGTTCAGCGCCAGCAAGCTCCAACCATTCCGCGCGCGACACGTGGTGCGTTGTCTCCTCATTGCCAATCACGTTTCAACATGTGTCCATTGAGTGCTGAGTCCGAATTTTTCCTTCAAAAGTAGAGCAAATTGGCCGGATTTCTTCCCCAAATCATATATATGATTTCTCATAATTTATGTGTAATTTTATTTTATTTCTTTTTCTTTTGTAATTTTTTATTTTTATTATTTATTTCCTTATTTGACAGGCAGCATCTGAACACTATAAGTAAGAGGGTTAACCTAAAGTTTTTGTAAGTTTTTAATATTCAGTTTGCTGTCGTCTTGCTGTCACTCTCATATTTTTTCTCTAGAACTTGTGAGAATGTTTTGCAAGCTAGGCTAGAGTTCTCTTGGTGATGTTATAGATGAACTTTTGTTAGTGACCAAATTCGAGCTTTTGATTCCTTGTGCTATAAAGTTCAATATATGAATCAATTAAATCTCATCTATCTTTCTATTACTTTTTAAAATATTGTGTGTCAATTTTTATATAAGTTCAGTCACGCTTTTCTTATGTAATTTTGTCACGCATTGTTTTATTATTCAAATTATTTTACAAATTATCTTTTACTGCAATATTGTCAAATTGATATATTGTCAATTTTGGATAACTTGTAATGATAATATTTTGGGAGTCAACATAGAGATTTAATTTATTTAATCATTTTATTTTGTGAATCAAAACTTGAATTGGTGAACGAAACATTAGGAATTCTCGACACCTTACCGTTTTTACTACTGAATTTCTTTTACACAGATCTTCTCTCCTTTTTATTTGCAACAAAGTCTACAAAAACTCTTCTTTTTCATTAATTTATTTGTTATTTATTTTTCTCTAACGCTCTTATTCTGTTAATCTTTCTTGTTTATTTTGTTACCTTTTTGTGGATACGACCGCCCTTTTGTGCTACAATTGACCGCTTGTGAACATCACTTTTGGGCGTTAATCAACTATCAATAACCCATGTGAGTCAGTTGGTTCAACCCATCTGAGGTAGAGATGTCAAAAGGGCCGTGTCAGGCCGGCATGGCCTTTCTAATCCCAGGCCCGCCTCGTGCCAGGGCCGGGCCTGAGGAGAAGCCCTCAGGCCCAGCACTGGCTCTCGGCCCTAGTCCATAAGGGCTAGGGTCGGGCCGGGCCCAAGCCCTTCACGGGCCGGCCCTGACCCTTTTAATTTTTTTAGCAATATTTAATTAAAAAAAAGAAAATTTATCATATGCTTCTAAAAGATGTGATTTTATTGAATTGAGATAATACGAATAAGTACACATAAATGACTGCCTCGTTAAAAATCTTGCCAAGTAAAATCCGTGGAGAAATCGAGACAAAACCTTAGCGAAGAAAGCAAGAGTGTAGTATTCTATGATAAGTACATTACAAAATCTAAGTGATTCCAGAAGATTCTGTTATGTCTAAGTTAGAAAAATATTCTTGAATTGAAACATTTGTATATTGTTGTTTTCATCTTCTGACATCTTCTCAGTCTTTGACGCACATTAGTCCCTTCAAGATATCCGGATACATTATGCTTCTCTTCTCATCAAGAATTTGGTTGCTTGCACTAAATGATTGCTTCAATGCTATCGTTGACACTGGAGTTGTCAGAATGTCACAGGCTATTATGGACAGTGTTAGAAAATGATCGGTCTTGCTCTTCCACCACTGTAAAATGTCCAGTTTGGCGTCATCGATTACAAATTTTGATTCAAAATATTTTACTAGTTTGGTAGACGCTTGTGTTGATGACGATCCTGAAATTTTCTCTTTCTTCTTCAAGAAGCTCCACGATGAGCCTTTAGGCCCCGAACTGCTAGTTGACGTCGAAGTTCCCTGTTCTTTTTTACCTGTACGGTATTTTGCTTTATACAAATTAAATAATTTTTCTAACATTTTCCTAGCATCAGTAATAGTTAGTTGCATATCAATACCTAAATTTTCTGCCATAGCAGTCATTAAAGATTCAGTCCCATCTACTCCGCATCTAGGATCTAAAATGGTTGCTAATGCATATAACATAGGACAACCGGGCCAATAACTTTTAAATTTAGCTTCCATTAGCTTAACTATGGTTCTAAAAAGTTCAGTATCCCTATAATAAGAAAATGTTTCTGAAATTAAAAAGTTGATGCAAAGCTAAATGTGAAGTATGATAATAAACTCCGGAAAGTAGTTTAGTAACATTGTAGAAAACTTCTAAAAATTTAAAAAAGTACTCACCAATGTTTCAATATGTATCGAAAATTAAAATTTAATCGTTCTTATTGTTCATATACATTGTGATGAGCTATTGATACGAAAGTACAACCTTCAACATTAAGTAGGTGGAGTTTCACCTATGTCTCACATTAGTTGAAAACTTTCGTGGACGCATCTGGCTATTCCTATAATATTGTCAGAATTCTTGGAGCCGAGCTCCATAACAAGATATGAAGGATAAAGATTCTTTAATATTTGTTAGATTAGAGGAAATATGTTCAATTCCTGCTTGTACTACTGAATTTATTATGTGACACGCACACCGTTGATGAAAAATTTCACCACCAAACGCTGGTTTCAAACTATGTTTAAACATGTTAATTGCAGCCGTGTTAGCTGACACATTATCAAAAGTAATAGTTAAAACTTCATCTTCTATCCCATAAAATCCAAAAATTTCCATCATTGTTCCAAAAATAGCATTTGTGATATGAGGAAATGGACATAAATGAAAACCTATTATTCTCTTTTATAAAACTCATTCATCGTCAACATAATGCGCCATGACGCATAAATATCCAGTTTTATTGCACCCCTTCCATAGATCAGAAGTACAAGATATAGTAGCATTAAAAGACCTAAAATTATCAACTAGATATTGTCTCATTGCATAAAATAATTTCACGTAATCAGAACGAGTTGTGTTTCTATTTACCCTTTTAAATTGTGGGCAGAAGGTCGTCTGTATGAATTCTTCAAATGCTATATCATCTGCAAAAGAA